GATGCCTTAATAAGTTGGAATTATTTTTGAATTACTTATATTTGGGATTAATATTGGAAGACTGCTGATAGTTAGGATTATTAATATGAATTTTTCCAATTGTAAATGATGTAGAAAAAGTGTAAACAGTAACAAGGAAAGATGAAAATGCAATAATAATAAAGGATATAAATGAAAAATGTGAGGAAATTTATGGGTATGTAAATGAAATTAGGGATGTGCGTAGCTAGTGACTATGTTGCACGGATAAGGATACGCCGATACGCGAATACAAGTATGACGATATGGTAATTTCAAAAATTATAGGATACGGGTACGAATTATATTTATAAATAATAAAAATATAGGGTATAATTTTCAAATATACATCATTCTGGGGGGGTTCATAAATTAAATAATAATCCCTCCGTCCCATTTAAAGGTTCCCGTACACTATTCTCCGGTCAACGTGCATTGTTCTTAATCTTTTACTTTTTATATCTAAAGTTTATGAAATTTAAATTATTTTTTGTAGGTTTTGTAGCGGGTTTAATGTAGTTTCTGAATATGTAAATTTTATTTACTAAAAATAATTCTATTAATGACAGGGATCAGTTAACTTTATGGTCAGTCAAACATCGTAAATCGTGTGGGAACCTTAAAGTGGGACAGAGGGAGTAATAGCAAGAAAAAATTAATCATCATAATAAAATTTCAAAAATTAGGCTAAAAAACTAGAGTACTGATATTTCGATTTAAATTCAAATAATATTTTTTGTTCTCTATTTGCATATACATCTAAGAAGTTGTTCTCTTCATCTTATTCTTATTATTTATTGCTTATTCTTATTTTACACATATCATATCAGATCAAAAAAATTCAGATCAGATCAAATCAGATCAGAAAGATTCAGATAAGATCAGAAGATTCAGATCAGATCACAAAGATTCAGATCACACCAGATCAGAAACATTCAGATCAGATCAAAAAATTTCAAACTTGATTTATCACTTTATTATTAGTGTTATAATAATAATAATAATAATAATAATTATTATTATTATTATTATTATTATTATTACTATTACTATTATTATTATTACTATTATTATTATTATTGTTATTATTATTATATTGTAATTATTATTGCTAATGAAATTAATATTATTACTATTACGAAGTATTAGTATTGTTCTTATTATTACTATAATAATAGTAATAATTATTATTATTATTATTAGTATTATTATTACTATTATTATTATTATACGGAGTATGGAAAAACAAAAATCATAATTATAATTATAATTATATTTTAAATTATAATTGCAATTATAATAATAACAATAATAATAATTATTATTATAATTATTATAATTATTATTATAATTATAATTACATCTATAATTACAATTACAATTATAATTTTAATTACATTGCAATTATATTTATATAATTATAATTGTAATTATAATTATAATTGTGATTTTAATTGTAATTATAATTTAAGTATAAATATAGTTACAATTATAATTAAAAATATAATTACAATTATAATCATATCTATAGTGTAATAGGTATAAAAATTATAGGTTTAAATATAATTATAATTATTATATTTTTAATCATTATGATTATAATTATAATTTTATTTAAATTATATTTGTAATTATAATTATAATTATAATAATTATAATTATAATTATAATTATATATGTTAAAATATTCAAATCAAACCACATCAGAAGGATTCAGATCAGATCAGATTAGAACTTAAAAAATTCAAATCAGAAACATTCAGATCAGGTGAAGAGAACCGCTTCTAAGTCTTGTTTCAATTAAAGCTGATGAAGCGATAAAATGACAAATTATAGTATTCTATTGTTTTACATACTCCCGAAATCATCATTATCAATGTTGGGCGGCTACTAAATTTTCGTCATGTCGTATGAAACTGGGGTTATAGGGTCAGATATGCGTATCCTTTCACGGATACGAGTATCGGAAGTATTAGTATTTCTAAAAATAAGCCCAATACTTTTATTAAATTACGGATACGGATCCAATACGTACATGACACGTATCGGTGAGTAACCAGTATCGAATACGTATCGGATACGCGGATACAGCATCAGGGTGAAGTATCGATGCACAATAGCCTAGTGGTACATGTAATAAAGTATTTTCATAAGAATAAGAAGTGTGTGTGTGTGTGTGTGTGTGTGTGTGTGTGTGAGAGAGAGAGAGAGAGAGAGAGAGAGAGAGAGAGAGAGAGAGAGAGAGAGAGAGAGAGAGAGAGAGAGAGAGAGAGAGGAGAGAGATGAGAGGAGAGAGAGAGAGAGAGGAGAGAGAGTAGAGAGAGAGAGGAGAGAGAGAGAGAGAGAGAGAGAGAGATGGGGGTACTACTCTTCGGTCTATTTGGGATATTTTTGGATATTTTCAAGGTTTTTGATTTAGAGTCCATTAGGTAACTGGAATTAGCTGAATCAGTATATTTTGTTGAAATTTATGAAATTTTGTTTGAAGTGGCTGAATTGACTTATTTTTGTTGATTTATGAAAAATTATATTTAAAATACATCTTATTAATAAAGCAAATAAAAAATTATACAAAAAATAGCTTATATTGTCGTCTACAATAACTTCAGACAATTCAATTATAAAAGTAAATTCCACATTATTTATTTTGATTATTTACACATTTCAACACGTGAAATTAAAAATTGTGCGTTTGGTAAAAAGGTTGAACGATAAAGCTGACAAGCAAAAAATAGGTCACCATATGGCTCTTATTATGTTGGAAGTTGGAATTGACCATATGGCTAGTAATAATGAATCAACCATAGTTCGAATTATTATAAATAGATATCATTTTTAACCATATGACAGTAGGAGATCGATCACGAGGGACCCATTATTGATAAATGACCACTATAGTTGGTGTGATTCGGAATAATCGATAATTGAGATTATTAAAAATGGATCGTAATTTGTATATTACGAGGCCGTTTGGTAACACTGAAATTGACTGAATCGGTTAGATTTAAAATAGTTTTTATTAATAAAATAAAGAAAAATTATATGAGAAATAGTTAAAATGATCTTCTACGGTAAATTCAGCCAATACATCCAGAAACGTAATTCCAACTTGACCTTTTCTTATTATTATTACATAACTCGGTGCGCGAAATCAAAAATTACGTGTTTGATGAAAACGTTGTCGATAAGTCTGATAAGCCAAAAAACAGGGTCACCAAACGGACTCTACATTATTACTATGTATTATTATTATTATTATTATGATTACTCCCTCCGTCCCAATTTGTAAGATACTTACGGTTTACGATGTTTGATCGACGATAAAGCAAATTGATCTCTGTCAACACTCAAATTAGTTTTAGAAAATAAAATTTACATATTCAAAAACTACATTAAAACCGCTACAAAGTTTGCAAAAAATAATTCCAATTTCATAAGCTTTTGATATAAAAAGTAAAAGATTAAGAGTGATTTATGTTGACCAAGTGAATAGTAAATGTATCTTACAAATTGGGACTGAGGGAGTATTATTATTATTATTATTATTATTATTATTATTATTATTATTATTATTATTATTATTATTATTATTAGGGAGTTGTGAAGCATCTAGAGAACCTCTACCTAAATCAATCAAATAGGCAAACAATAAATTAAGAATAATAATTGTAATTTGATTTAGGTGAAAGTTGATGTTGGGAAAAGAATGTGTGGGGTAATTAATTAGTACAAGTACTTGTAGGTTTGGTGGAGTTTGTTATTTGGCTGCGAGGAAGAGCTCAGGGAAAGGGGAATTAGCAAACACTAGTATGTATTAATCCCACCCCGTAAATAAAGAAGAGCACAAGGCGAGAAGGAGCTTATAAAAGCTGAACTAGGCACAACATAATAGATACTTACCTGGACAGGGTCAATAGGCGATCAAGAAGGTCTATGGCTTAGGTTGATAACTTTCATTGCACTTTGAAAGGGTGTCATCCTAAGATCTACCCAAATGGTGGAATCTACGTCATAATTTGTGTTAGTTGGGGTCTGCGTTCGCGCGGCCCCTACCTAATTACTAGTCCAAATTTTTAATTTTGAACCTTATGGGGTGTTCTTTTAGAGAGTATTTAAAAGTCCCATGTCATTTTAGGACTTTTAAAATTTGAGTGTATTTAATTGAGACATTTAAAACAGAGTTGGAAAAAGCATTGGTGTATTTAAAAGTTCATCAAAATTTGGATTGGATTTCACAACCAAAATGGAGATTTTATTATCAAATCTCGTGTACTACGTATATACATAGTACTTGAGATTTTTGAGACATGTCAATTGTCAAGAACTGCACTTCAACCATGATATTTCCTCTCCTCCCTATCGCGGTCCTGCTCTTCTTCCCGTCTCACCTCTTGCTATGCACATTTGAAGCATCGCTGTGGGGCTTCTCATCCAGAGTTCCACGGGTCAGACCACCTCCGGGTTCGTTGCCAATTACTCGGACGATTCCCTGAAGACCGGTCGGTGAATCCCGAGTCTATCTGCCATATCTCAAAACTTCATTGACGAATCCCTGTTGCAGCCTACAAAACTCCAACCAGAATCCTAGTATATGTGCAATTGTGCATTGGTCGAACTCTAGTCCCTATCTCGTGATTTGGGGAAAGAAACTGCCTAGTCATACATTAGGAAACTATCCCTCTTTTACTCATACGTGTGTTAATTTTCTCATATATATACATGGGTGTGTTTAGGTCTAGACCCTCGGAGTTTTCAACATATGCATGTAAAAAAGCAACTAACTATAAACTGCCTTGCTCAGACTAAACCGAGCGATTTTCAACAAATAAACATGGCAAAAGTATACAGTAAAAATTGATAATAATAAATTCATCTTGTAGCGCTCTTCTCAAAATAATCTCAGCTAAAAAAATTCTCATAATAATCTAATCTTAGTGCCCAAAAGTAGAAAAAACTAAAAAAGAATACCATTTTCACTTGAATTGACCATAACTCATGAAATGATTCGTTTGTTTACACAAAGATGTATGAATAAAATGTGATTGACAAATTGCTGGTATTTTAAAACAAACCAATAAATTACAGAAACACCAAACAGTCAAACAAACGAAAAACCTTTTTCTTGGACAAACAGTTAACTACCTAGAACAACAAGAATAAGCCTTGTTTTTGTTCTGCTTCAATCCATCATCATCATATCCATTACTATTATTATGACCAAGGCTGACTCTATTGACAGATAACTCTGCTTTATATGAATCAGAGTTCAAAACCTTTCTGCTAACATTGTTATATATCTCGCGGATAACAATCTCAAAAGCCTGTTTTACGTTTGTGGAATCTAGCGCGGACGGCGGACGTCTCCATAAAGAACATCCCTTCCGCTTCTGCAATGCTTCTCCCCTCCTCAACACTTACAGCCCTTATGTTGTTCAGGTCACATTTATTGCCCACTAGCATCCTCGCAACGGTTGTATCAGAATGAGCTGCATCGCCATTTGGTTTTTAAGTCAAAGATCAAGTTGACCAGAAAAGTGTGAATGAAAAAAAGCATAGGGAGAAACCGGGATATGAAATGATTGGGGACTCAACTCCACACTTGAAGTGTGTGTGGAGGGAGATGAGCTAAAGGCACATGGGCAGTCACTTTTTGTCATTTTCTCTCAGTCTCCTACTATATGGACACTCTCAAGTCTTAAGGGGGGATTGTGAGGACAATATAGATAAATTTTGAAGGAAAGAAAATTTGATGGAGAAAATCCAACTGGTTCAAAACTCATAAATCTATTATAGATGTGTGTTCTATCTGGTTTGGTTTATACTATTCTAAATTGTAAAGACTTGAAAACCAAAGGTCTAAATTGATTTTCCCTTCATACTTCTAAGGTAAAATCAAACATAATCACCAAATGTTTTTATTTTTTGTAGATACATATTTTTATATAAATGGTCTTATGAACCTCGAGGTATATGCTGTTTTCTCCCAAACACTCGTTTTTACTATTCTAATTTTCCTAATGCTGCAATTTTGACTGCCCCAATTCACCACCATCACTCTAAACCGTTCCACCTCACACCTCTGCAGCTTTGCTACAAGAATAAATCTTATGGAGATTGAAAGTCCTGTGCAATTTGAATTTCAATTGGAAACAAGTCTTACACATTGATATCAACAGAAGTAGAAGACATAATACAGTAGACATAATATATGAAGGTGTTATGGTGTCAAATAATAGACAAAATATTAGGTGAAAACTCATATGTAGAGGGTTAATTAGTAGTACAGATCCTTGGGACGTTGGTTGTAATAACTCATAAAGTTAAAAAGGCCTTTGATTTGTTTTACAATTACAAATGAACAGTCAGCTCTCTATTGTTCTAGGGCAGTGAGATGATTCCACAGGACAATATATGAACACATAAAGCTTTAACTGGTATGAATGTGATAAGGCATATTAACCCATTGAATCCACAATATCTATCCTGGAAAGATAGAGAAGGAATACTCCATATATAGCATTTCTTCATTGATGTAAAGAGTCTGAAGTTAGTCATACTCATCACTCATCATCAACCTTTCTGGCCTCGGATATCTTTGGTAATGGTCCAAAGAGGCACATACGCAGGGTACCCTCCAGTACTTTCTCATGAAAATAGCTCTTGTACAAATCCCACATCTCATCTCTGTCCAAATCATATAAGATAAGCGTTATAATAATTATATTTTCATTTCCATAGCACGGAGAATATAAACAATGTCTCCATATATCCACAGCTGACTAAAAAATTAGCACAGGGGTCGACTACAAGCTCCTAGAACTTTCTAGGTGGGTTAGGTGTCTGGTACTCCGGTTTAAGGTCTCCCAGGCAGGCTTTCACCATTCTAGCACCCAACTAGCACCTAAAAACTCCCAGGCAGTTTGTTTCCTCATCTAAACAGCCAACTCGAGCTCATAAAACAAAACTATTCATGCAAAATACCAAAATGAACTCAGTCAAATCGAACCTGACTTGAGGAAGTGTTAGCAGTGAATAGCCCTTGACATCCATTTGCATATCCAGCACAAGGACAGATAACCGCGACAAGCCTAGTGCCTCCATATCAATCAATTTCTTGATCCTGTAAATAGTTGAGAAAATTTTTATAAAAGCGATAAAAGACAATGATGCAAAGATAATTTCTTTTACATTTGGGAAAAAACTTTTTCCCTCTTTAGTTCAACAAGTCCCCAAATGAGGAGTCTAAGTTCAATTATAGAACATAACATGGGGAGCCACAATACCTGCTAGGTGTACCACTAGCAATATTAACACGGTTCTTCAGAACGGACACCTGCCAGTGAATGTAAAATATGAGTGGAGAATTAAATGCCCGTTTGTTAAGACCAAAATTGGTTGAATCTGCTCAGTTATGATAAAACTATATTTCAAATATATTTTATTTATAAGTAGAGAGAAATTCTATGGACAAAATACTAAAGTGGGCCTCTTTAACAAATTCAGCCAATTTGGCAGAAAAAATTACCACCAATCTTACATTTTTTTCATTATTAATGAATTCACCGTATAAAAATAATATAGTGTTTGGTAAAGTATCTGGTTGATAAGACGGACAACAAGGCTACCAAATGGGCACAGTGTACAACTCATTTAAGTGAGCAAATAGGGGAGTGTTTGTAAGCATATAAACGGCAAATGTTGTGATATAAGAAACAATGAGGTTTTATGTTCATATATGTCATATATCTAAACATATAAGTTTATTAACAAAAGTATAAGTAAAGAAGGGAAGAATCTCTTTCTTCTGTATATACAGGTACCAAATATTACTGGTGGTCAAGTTCCACCAAATGCTACCATGCCACTCCACATATATGCACGCTTCTTTTTTTCTGCTAGAATGTTGTACTTCTTATGAAGCATCATTCATCAAAATTCTAATACATCAAAGATTTGCAATATAGTAAACCAAAACCTGCTCTTCAATCTTCATGTGCTTAGAGAAAAGCTTTGCAGCAGGGCATTCTCTAGTAAAAGGTCTCAACTCCCTGAAAAAAGCATCATGCGACCTCAATTAATTATTGAAGACCACATATTTAAGCGGCCAGTTTTGTACTTTCAAATAAACATGTCAATATGTCATACCTTAGAAGTTCCAGGGATCTTATAGCAGAAGAGCTAATCACAAGAAGCGCAGGATGGCCAGGTTCAACTTTCTCAGCTACAAGTGTATTTTTACAGAGAAGAGAATTCCATGAAGGTCCAAAAGCAAACTTCATAATCTCTCCAAGAGTTCTAGTGTTGTTAGTTTCATCTCGGAGGAGTTCAACCATGCAAGTATCTACATGATGCAGCAAAAGTATAAGTTAATTTGACAATACATACATCACCGGTTCAGTACTAACTATTATACCCACAGGGCCATAAGTATGAATATGTTAATATCTTATATCTCATACGCAGGGGCGGAGGTAGAGGGGTGGCCAACCGGGCTACGGCCCGCCCCAAATTTGATTTTTTTTGTATTTTTAGTGTAAAAATTTATGTGAAAAAAAAAATATCTGAAAAATTCTTTGTACCAGCCCAGCCCAACCTTCAATCCTAGCTACGCCCCTGCTCATACGGTTTGACATGTTTGAAAGTTGAATCAGCAAAGAAAAGATGGAAGACAAAATTGACCTATTCTTGTGTTCATTTTTAGATTTCTAATGTCCTTTACTGGGAGGAGCTTATTGACATGAATATGACTAGGTTTTGACAGTTAGCCAAGTTTATTCACAAAAGTATCACCCATCAAGGCAATGAGGAAAACTCCCGTGCTTTGGAAAAATAACAATTAAAAAAAGAACATGCCTAGGTATAACCTAATGCCATCTATTTCTTCGTCTTCCTCTATTTTTTCCTTCGAGAGAGTTACGCCCATCGGTCATCATTTTCCTTGTACCACTCTTACACGTCTAAAAATTGAGCATGAATTTTCACAAGGACAGACAATTTACCTGATACTTATTTTCTAAATTTTATTCATATCACCTAAATTTTAATATTTGGCATGCTTCCACACTTGGGGTCTAAAATGTGCGGGCACAATAATTATACACAAAATGGGTCAGACACATACTGAAGAGTGGCATTTTCCCCAACTCCATATTATTTTTCTCGTCGAGAGTTGATGAATCACATTCCCCAATTTCAATCTATTTTTTCCTTGCATACCGGTAACTGTGCCTATATCATTTTAATCAATTACCAACCTTCTTCTCATTTGATGCACTACTGCTTAATCAGTTCATCCCAATTCCCAATCTTGTCCATACTCTGTATTAGTCACATTCAAATATATATATATAAGTAGACATCAGCCAATACCCAGCTTTGAATTTCCACCAAATCTCTGCATATGGGTTGCACTTATATACTACTGGTATAGTGGTATGGTATATAACCACCCGCCCCACACCCAACAAAATGAAACTAAAATGTTTGGCCAATATTAGAAGCATTAACATGTGGAAGTAAAGCTGGAGCTGAACACTATTCATACATGTATTATTCATGTATATGTCCTTCCATCTTATTGAAATACAATTAGATAAAGGTAAACGAATGCGGCATAAAAATAAAAATGAACCATCTGTTAAACACTGAAGAAGATAATCCATGTAAAGTTGTGAATGACATATAGTCAGGGAAAGGAGAAACCTTTGAAGGATTCGAGCTCAAGAGAAGAAAGCTGAACGCGGTTGGCAGATTGGTATTGGTGAATAAAGAAGTCGAGCTGCTCAGAAACTGTTGGGCTCTGAATGACGCCGTTTCCCTTTTTTCCGGTACTGGTATTAGTCTTCTCATTCTCCATCTCCTTTTCATTCCCATTGCGTTTGTTTTTCTTCTTGGTCTTCAATTGCTTAGGCCGCAGGGACAACTCTTTCTTTTTCTTTTGCTTTTTACGAGTCTCTGAAAGGGCCTTCTTCTCCTTGCCGCTGCCCATTGGTCTAGGCTGTGAGACTCTCTCGGAGTGTGGTCGCCGGCGGCTGTTTCGTTAGGTCTTTGAATATTGCTCACCCCAAAATATCCCAAAATATTGGTTTCTTCCAAAAAATACTACGTATGTTTTTTTGAAGAGCCGATTCATTTCTATTCCTAATTTAATTAATTAATCTAAGGGAAAATCGCATATATGGTCCCTCAGTTATTCATGTAATTAAAATCTCAGACCCGTATTTTTAAGATTGTAAATGTCACCCCTCAATTGTTTAAAATGCTGTAAATGTGGTACTTTTAGGGGTGAAATATACAATATGGGCGAGAGCAGTGGCGTATCCACTATGGGGGCAGCGGGGGCAGCTGCCCCCACTCAACCCCAACCCAACCCCTATATATATGAGTCAATTCCCTAAATAGGACTAAAAAGTGGCAAAATTGCACAAATAGGACTACATTTTCTAAATTCCCTTAATAGGACTATTTATGTGTGTTTGAACAAATATACCCTTGTAACTTGTGAAATGTTTTAATTAATAATAAAATCATAAAAAAATAATAAAAATCGAAAAAAAAAACTAAAAATCGTAAAACAATAATAGAAAATTAATAAAAATATTTTTTAAAAAAATTAAAAAAAAAATTATTTTTTAAAAAAATTAAAAAAAATTAAAAAAAAATCGTAAAATTAAAAAAAAAAAAAAAACATTACCACCCCCAGCTCCATCACCGGAGAAAAATATGCCAACATTTTAAATAATGCCATAATGATGGCATATTCAATGAAAATGTTGGCATATTGAAGAGTAATTATGCCACCTTTTTGGCATTTTCAGAAAAAAATGGCAGTTTTTTATCAAAAGTGGAAGAAATTTCACCAATCGGAGGTGATGGTGTTGGGAGGCGGTGGGAAAGGTATCCATAATTTTTTTCATTTTTTATGGGTTTTTACTATTTTTTATTATTTTTTAAAAAAAATTAAAAAAATAAAAATTTAATTTTTTTATTTTATAAATCTTTTATAAATTTTTTATAATTTTTTTTACGTTTTTTAAATATTTTTTACGTTTTTTTATGATTTTATTATGAATTAAAGCATTTCATTATGAATTAATACTCTTAGGGGTATTTAGGGTAGAAAATTAATGTTTTGTCCTATTTAGGGAATTTAAAAAGTAGTAGTCCTATTTGTGCTTTTTAGGAACTCATTAGTCCTATTTAGGACAATTTCCGTATATATATCCAAATTTTTACAAGAAATTGCTCAAATTAAGAGTTAAATGTAGAAAAAAAAAATCTAAAATAGGATTAGAAGTGTTTTCTTTAATATTAAAAGAATGAAAGGCTAAAAAATTCACTAAATTTTGTTATGTTTAAGACTGTTTAACTTATATTTAGGTAAATTTATTACATTTTATCGTCAATTACATCTTTACACACCTGTAATATAAATTAATCTTCTTTTTATTCATACTTGTACATAGATATTATAAACTAAATTTAATCAAACAATATTAATAATGTGATTTGTTGTTTGTGAAATATGAGACTAAATTGTAGTCAAGTTTGCCCCCACTCGCCAAATTTTCTGGATACGCCACTGGGCGAGAGTACATTTCACTACTTAAAGGACCACATTTACAATAATTTGGACATTTGAGGGGTGACATTTACAATCACAAAAATACAGGTCTGAGATTTAAATTTCGTGGATAATTGAGGGACCATATATGCGATTTTTCCTTAATCTAATTAATTATCCCCTAGTTTCTTTGGATAATCAGGTCAGTCCGTTGATGGCAATGACAAACTTCAGCGGCGGCAGATGGCAGCGACAGACAGTCAATTTATGGCGAAGAGGATTTCGGTCAATAGTTGAATGGCTCTAACCTTATAAGTTATTTTCGTCCAATCACAAATAAAAGCTCTATTTAAGAATGTTTAAACAATATGGTCCTATTTTTAGAAAATGGATGAGAAAATTGCTTTTGGTAGGACCAAAATATAACTTTCTTCCAAAAGTATAATCATATGTTTGGTTTCCCTTAAACGTGATTAATCCTTCCGTTATACGCCTAATCTAATTAATTAACCTAACTAATTGTCTCCCAATTCCCTTATATAATTGGGATTTAGGACAGTACGTCGGTGGTGGGGAAACTCGTGAAGGCGGTGGATTTCTGGCAACCCGGCAGAGGGTGTATGGGAAAAAAGTTTTTGCAATGACAGAATGATTTCGGCGAACTAGGCAATCTGGGGCAGCAGCTATAACCCTGTAAGGGTATTTTATCTAATCGCAAATAAAACCCCTATTTAATAGTTTAAACTATTTGATACTATTTTTGGAAATTATATGATTGTAATCCGAGGTATTTCCCCAATTAAAATGAGGCTGTTGTGAAATGAAGAAGATGAAGAACAGATTTAAGAGATAGATATATTGATAACAAACTCTAAATTACTTCTTCTTAATATCTGAGAAGTTTTGAGTTTCTAAATTAATTTACAAGGCTTCATCAAGCTCCTATTTATAGTGTTTGAGCTTGATGATTAGTCACCTAAATGATGAATCTACAGATTTGGTGGCAATAACAAATTGAGCCACCTATTCTAACTAGGTTACAAGGATCATTACAAAGATCAGGAACATCTTGGTGTCCTAGTGACAAGGATGAATAATTCACACTTGTTAATTTGATGGTTTTACAACACTCCCCCTTGAATGTTCATCCTTGAGAATAGTTATTTGTATTTAAAAATTTATTGTGAAGATTAGTGTGAAAATTAAGGGGTAAAGATTATGACATATAATGTCGTTGTATTTGGATGTACTGTCTCGTTAAAAACCTTATCAGGAAAAACCCAGTGGGATAAAAACCTGATGAAGGGAAAAAGAGTGCAGTGCATTCAAATACTCCCCCTGAATTTAGCATAAATTATTAAGGCGGCGCATTCCGATTTTCTGTACAAGTTCAACGAACTTCTTCGGGGGTAAAGATTTGGTGAAGAGATCGGCTGGATTTTCACTGGATCTGATTTGTTGAACGTTGATCGTCCCTTCTTTCTCAAGGTCGTGAGTAAAGAAAAATTTTGGTGATATGTGTTTCGTTCTGTCTCCTTTGATGTAGCCTTCTTTAATTTGAGCTATGCACGCAGTGTTGTCTTCGTAGATCACGGTCGGGTGATAAGTAATAGGCTTCATACCGCATTCATTTTGGATGTGTTGAATCATAGATCGCAGCCATACACATTCTCTTCCGGTTTCATATAGTGCAATTAACTCCGAATGATTTGATGATGTAGCTGTCAACGTCTGTTTCATAGATCTCCACGAGATTGCGGTATTACCATAAGTAAATACGTACCCGGTTTATGATTTTGCCTTTTGAGGATCTGATAAGTATCCGCCGTCTGCATATCCGATTAAAGAAGCTGTTGCATCTTTGTGGTAGAATAGGCCGAGATCAACTGTACCACGGAGATAACGAAATATGTGCTTGATCCCGTTCCAATGACGTCTTGTTGGACATGAGCTGTACCTAGCTAATAAATTTACAGAGAATGCAATATCTGGTCTAGTATTATTAGCTAAATACATTAAAGCTCCAATAGCACTCAGATATGGTACTTCGGGACCGAGTATTTCTTCGTCGTCTTCTCGGGGACGGAATGGATCATCGTGTATGTTGAGAGATCGAATGACCATTGGTGAAGTCAAAGGATGAGCTTTGTCCATATAGAATCTCTTCAACACTTTCTCGGTGTAATTGGATTGGTGGATGAAAATTCCATTCTTCAAATGCTCAATTTGAAGTCCGAGACAAAATTTGGTTCTCCCGAGATCTTTCATTTCAAATTCTTTCATAAGATATTTTGCAGTATTTTCAATTTCATCGGGAGTTCCAATAATGTTTAAGTCATCAACATATACTGCAATTATGGCGAATCCCGAATTTGATTGCCGAATGAAAACTCATGGACTAATCGAATCATTCTTATATCCTTCTTTGAGAAGGTATTCACTGAGACGATTATACCACATTCGTCCAGATTGTTTTAGTCCATACAATGACTTTTGTAATTTAATGGAAAACATGTCTCGAGGTTTCGAGCTATAAGCTTCAGGCATTTTAAATCCACCGGGAACTTTCATATAAATGTCTGTATCAAGTGAACCGTATAAATATGCGGTCACTGCATCCATTAGGCGCATTTGCAGCCTTTCAAAAACAGACATGCCAATGAGAAACCTTAATGTAGTTGCATCCACTACTGGAGAATAGGTTTCTTCATAATCAATTCCCGGCATTTGAGAAAAACTTTGGGCAACAAGTCGGGCTTTATATCTAACAATTTCATTCTTTTCATTGCGTTTACGCACAAATACCCATTTAAAACCCACAGGTTTTACGCCTTTTGGCGTAGGGACTATCGGTCCAAAAACATCACGTTTTTCAAGTGATTTTAATTCAGCCTGAATAGCTTCATTCCATTTTGGCCAATCGTGTCGTTTCCGACATTCTTCTATTGATGTTGGCTCATTGTCATTGTTTTCATTCATAACATTTGTGGCAACGGCATAGACAAATATCTCATTAATATCAATATCTTTTCGATTCCATTGCATTCCAGTAGAAACGTAATTTATTGAAATTTCATAATTATCAACGTTTCTATCAGTATCTGGAATATCTTCCTCATTTAAGGAAGTTGAATCATTATTTGAGATGTTTGTTTTGTCAATAT